TGGTCCAAAGATGCTTTTAAACAAGGTTACAGGGATCCCTGGGTGGCGCAGCGGTTTGGCGCCTGCCTTTGGCCCAGGGCGCGATCCTGGAGACCCCGGATCGAATCCCACGTTGGGCTCCCAGTGCATGGAGCCTGCTTCTCCCTCTGCCTATGTCTTTGCCTCTCTCTCTGTGTGTGTGTGACTATCATAAATAAATAAAAAAAATTTAAAAAAATAATAAATAAATAAATAAATACACAAGGTTACATAAAAGCTTTCATTTAATATATTACAATATTCTGATTAATACTGAATTAATTAGGGATCCCTGGGTGGCACAGCAGTTTGGCGCCTGCCTTTGGCCCAGGGCACGATCCTGGAGACCCGGGATCGAATCCCACATCGGGCTCCCGGTGCATGGAGCCTGCTTCTCCCTCTGCCTGTGTCTCTGCCTCTCTCTCTCTCTGTGTGTGTGACTATCATAAATAAATAAATTTTTAAAAAAATACTGAATTAATTAAAAACTTCCAAAAAAGTGTCAGGAAGATTTGTTATAAAATTTATTTTCTGAATTTACCCAAGGCCACTTTTGCCTCTTTTGACATATAGATACTTTTCCCCAGTATTTTTCAGCTATAAGAAAATCCTAAAAGTTCTTAAATCAACCTTCAGATTTTGGAAAAGTAAATCAAAGTTCTAGAAATTAAAATGTGAAACTGGATTCTATAGGTCTAAGTCAATGCCAGGTCAAGATTAGAGCAAAGAAATCCTAATTCCTGTTTCATTTTTCATTTAAGGTAAAAAATATGGGACGCCTGGGTGGCTCAGCGGTTGAGCATCTGCCTTTGGCTCAGGGTGTGATCCCGCAGTCCCAGGATCAAGTCCCAAGTCAGGCTTCCTGCATGGAGCCTGCTTCTCCCTCTGCTTACGTCTCTAGATCTTTCTGTGTCTCTCATGAATAAATAAAATCTTTTTTAAAAAATAAGGTGAAAAATAAAGGTTAAAGTAATGTTCTAGAGATGTCACCAATCTGAAGCACAATATTTAAAACTGGGGTAAAAGGAGTGGGGAAACCACTGCCGTCATGGAGCTCACATTCTCACGCACCAGGCAGACAAACCAATGTCAAGAGTGAACTCTATCACCAACTAGGTTTTTATGTACTGACTCATCTTTCTTCTCTAGGTCCCACCTTACCCTCTGCTTCCCTCTCTCACTCCCCTGTGGGCTTTGTTCTGCCAGGAGACCTCTGTTCACCTGCTTGCACAGGATTCCAAGATGCCACACCCACCCTAACCCTCTCAAGCTACCTTAGAGCTACCTACGTTACTACATCTTCTTAAAATAATTTCACTTGAATCTCTGATACCACTTCAGAATCAACAAGAACAAAACCAAACATATGCTCTCTTAGGACTGATTTCCTATTTCAAGTTCCTCTATTGCTACTATTACTATTCTCCAGAATTCTCATTCTCAAATTTTAGGTCATCTTTAATTCTTCCCTCACCTGTAGCATCCATATATGGTCAGTCTCCATGGCCTACATGTATTAGTCAGAGTTCTCCAACAAACAGAAACTTACTATAAGGCGTTGGTTCACACAATGTGAAAGCTGGTAAGTCCAAAGTCTGCAGAGCTGGTGTCTCCATTTAATTTTTTTTAATTTTTATTTATTTATGATAGTCACAGAGAGAGAGGCAGAGACATAGGCAGAGGGAGAAGCAGGCTCCATGCACCGGGACCCCGATGTGGGATTCGATCCCGGGTCTCCAGGATCGCGCCCTGGGCCAAAGGCAGGCGCCAAACCGCTGCGCCACCCAGGAATTCCCGGTGTCTCCATTTAAGATTAAAGGTCAGCAGACAGGCAGGCTGGGTGGCTCAGCAGTTTAGCGCCACCTTCACCCCAGGCCCTGGTCCTGGAGACCCAGGATGGAGTCCCATGTCAAGCTCCCTGCATGGAGCCTGCTTCTCCCTCTGCCTTGTCTCTGCCTCTCTCCATCTCTCATTAATAAATAAATAAATAAAATCCTTTTTTTTAAATAAATAAATAAATAAATAAATAATGAATAAATAAATAAATAAATGTATGTATGTCAGCAGGCTTCTGAATAACCAGGAAGAGCCAGTGTTCCAGCTCAAAGGCTGCCAAGCAGAATTCTTATTTAGGGGAGGTTATTGGCCTTTTGTCCTATTCAGGCCTTCAACTAATTGGATGAGGTCTACCCACATTATGCAGGCTCAGTCTGCTTTACTCAGTCTACAAATTTAAATGTTAATTTCAATAACACCCTTACAGAAACAGTGAGAATAATGTTTGACCAAATATCTTGGCGTTCAGTGGCCTAGTCAAATTGATACAAAAATTAGTCATCACATCACAGTTTTACTTTTCAAAAGTGACACTCTTCTCTTTCCATTCTCAGTCTCACTAGCATCATCTCAGTTCAGATCCTTATGATCTCCTCCGACTGGTTTTCAGCACAAGGATGTAACTCAGCCCCTTCCCCATCCTTTAGTTCATGTATCACTGGATATGCTGTGGATAAATTTATTTTCAGAAATGTTTTTAACATATCATTCCTGTTCTATTATTTAATTCGCAATGACATCTTACTCCAAATAGATCCACTTATTTTTACAATATATTTATTACTCTGTGTAATCCAGCCCTACTGGCCCTACTGACCTGTTTCTACTGTCACTCTCCTAATTTAAAACTTTTTTTAAAAGATTTTATTTATTTATTCATGAGAGACACACAGAGAGAGACAGAGACATAGGCAGAGGGAAAAGCAGGCTCCCTCCAGGGAGCCTGATACAGGACTTGATCCCAGGACTCTGGTATCAGGACCTGAGCCAAAAGCAGATGATCAACCACTAAGCCACTCAGGTGCCCCTAATTTAGAACTTATATTATAATTGGCCAATAACTTAAATATCTTCTCCATTCATCCACACCCATTCCCTTAGCAATGCACCTCCCTTCTCTGGGAAGCACTGGGCACTCTTCTTCGCCTACTTCAATTCCATCCACCTTCCAAGGTTGGTCTCCAGCTACTCCTTTCTGAAGTTTTCCTAATACTCCAAACCAAGAAAGTCGTTTAGTTTTCTAATCCTCACATGCATTTAAGATTTTAAGATAAACAAAAGCATTGCTACTCTAAACTACTCTTATTCATGAATTTCTTTTTTTTTTTTTTTAAGAGAGTGAGAAAGAGAGAAAGAGAAAGGGAGAGAGTGTGGGGGTAGGATCAAAGAGAGAATCCTAAGCAGGCTCCACGCCCAGTGCAGCACCCAACACTGGGCTTGATCTCACAATCCTGAGATCTCAGCCTGAGCCAAAATCAAAAGTCAGATGCTTAACCAACTGAGCCACACAGATGCCCCTCAAAAATGTATTTCTATTGCACATCTCTCTTTCCCTAGTTCCCAATCTCACCCTATCACTTCCAAATACACACCTTCTATTTACTTAGGGTTGAAAATATTGGAATCTGTGCTTTGCTAAGCACTGTGTAAGGAATAGACATACAAAGAGGTACTAATCTCAGAAGCCTTAGGCTAATATAAAATAATTATTGTAATAATTAAGGGGCAATATACTACATACTATAACAAAGGTAGATTCAAAACTCTAAGGGAATATAGAAAATATAACAGAAGGAAAAAATAAATTGCCCTACTAGAATGATGTGGTAGGGAATAAATTTAAGGGGAGGAAGAAAGGAAAAGGCATTTCAGTACTGAAAATAATCTGTACAAAAGAATAGAAACAATGAAGAAAATACATACACACATACACACATGCATACATACGTATATAGACACGCAAACATATATTCTTATATATTCATATAAGGTATGATGAGACATTTACCATGATGGCAAACAAACTAGGTATTAAGGATCAGAAGCCAGAAAAGTAAGGGATTAAATTCAGCAAAAGAATCACTGAATAATAGTAACAAAGCCCCAGAAACAAAATATCTGTAATATTAAGAATGTTAAGTCCAGAACTTGAGTGGAGCTGAGAAGAAGCAGGCATGCTGGAGCATGGAGCTCTATCACTTAAAAGTGACATGACATGAGGAGCACCTGAGTGGCTCAGTTGGTTAAGCATCTGCCTTCAGCTCAGATCATGATCTCAGGGCCCTGGGATCACCCCCGTGTCAGTATGGAGTCTGCTTTTCCCTCTCCCTATGCCCCTTCACCCCCCCATCCCCCACCTCTGCTCATGAGAGTCTCTCTCTCTCTCAGATAAATGAAATCTTAAAAAAAAAAAAAAAGTGACATGACATGTAACACAGGATTTATGTTCCATACTACCTTTTAAAAATCTGATAAATTCTCAATTCCAAAACACACCTGGCCCCTTGGGTTTTAGATAAAATTCTACAGATCTTTGATTTTGAGATTCCACAGAATGTGTCAGATACACAAAGGGGTCTCTTCCCCCATGAAAGGTTTTAGAGTCCATGGAAGATCCATTTAGAATTGTTTTTAAGAGGAGGATAAGTTTCTTAGTGCCAAACACATTCTATTATTGACTGCCTTTGTGATCCGTGGCAAAGTTTATTTTACTTATAAAATATTAGTTAAAAACAAAAAATAAACTGCCAATCAGGGACTCTTACTTCAACCTTTTTACTCCCCTTATAATGCCAAGAATACCAGGAAAAAAATTGTAAAACAACATTCCCTTTGCCTCCTATAACCTTAATAGATAGTTTCCTGGAATTGTCTATTCAAACAGAAAATTAATTTCCATGCACAGCTGGAAATACCACATTGGCAAGTGAAGAAAACATCAAACACCAGTAGATTAAATAAAAAGTGTAGGAACTATAAAGACTTAACAAAACAAAATTTGCTCAATAAGATGGTCCTATGAAAACAGCTTTTCACTGTTTATTTAACGTATGAATACATCTCTTAAAAGCGAAGTACCAATAATTAAGGAAGCTTTGGATTCAGAGAAACAATGAGAGGATTATATCATTCAAGCAGTTTTTCTACTGTTGCATGAAGGAGAAAAGGTTAGCATTTCCCTTGCCAAGTATGAAAGAGGTCCTAGGGCCTGTACAACACATGTACAGGTAAGACATTGCACCTACATTGTGCCATGTCCCCATGGCCAGTTTTTTTGTTTTGTTTTCACTTTGGGATGATGAAAAAGTTCTAGAGATAGATGGTGGTAATGGCTGCGCAATACAAATGTGAATGTACTTGATGCCACTGAAATATACATTCTAAAAGGGGTAAAATAGTCAATTTAATGTTATGTTTGTTTTCCTACAATAAAATATAATTTCAATAATATACAAAAAGTTCTTGAAACCAATAACAAATAGAATTGTCTAGAAAATATGCAAAGGGCACAAATTCAAAACGGGAAGAGAATCCAATAAATACATGGAAAAATGTTCAAAACCACTAATATGAATACAAGTAAAAATGACGACAAACTATCAAGTTTAATCTTTCAAATTACGGAAGATTAAAAAGTTGAGAATTTGAAAAAGAAAAAAGGCAGCTTTTCGAGACCCGCCAACAAGATCAGGCTCTGTTTACCCATCGCCCTCCATTGGCTTCAGCCTCATGGGTATTCTCTTTGTACTGACAGCCATCAAGAAAAGCAGGCCCATGGGGCCATCAGGGGACTACTCCGGGGTGCTATACCTGCATCGGGCAATGACTTGCCTGGCCAATATTCAACTAATAACCAAACTAAAGAATACACTTTGTACAAATAATTCAGAACAAAAGAGGGAGAGGCAAAAAAATCAGAACATCACTTTCAGGAACACAGAAACACATAAAGGCGAGCATGAAGCAGTAACAGTGTGGGAACAGAACGGCACATGGCTTCCAGACAATCAGCCCCCTTGCCCTGCTGCCTTGATTCTCAAGTTGTCAGAAGAAAAATTTAAAACCTCCAGTACTGACACTTTGTAAATAGCAACAGAGAGAAACTTCAGTAAAGATTCGTGTGTTATGAAAGCAAGATAGAGAAAAACATTCCACATGAACTCTATCATCGTAAGACTTCTGAAAGGAGTGAAAGGTTGAGTTTAGGAACATTTCTAGACTAAGCATGACAGAGTTCCATGTAGCATACTGTGTTATAAAACATGGAGCTACATCTCTATTATCTTTGACAAACAACTCCAAGACACCATGTACTTCAGTAAGCCTGCTGGGATACCCCACAAGCAAAGTGAGGGATCAATTTAATTAGCTACATATAGGAGGAAGTATGCACATGGCAAAATACATGGCACAAAGCAGGAGCTCAGTAAATATTTGTTGAACTGAACTGAAGCAAGTGGTAGAAGCTGATAAACATTACTTGTATCTATTGATAAAATTTATTATTGTTCCAACTTTCCAATGCACTTTACCTATGGAGAATATAGGCTTTATCTATAAAGCAAGCTATAAAGGTTCTATTCTTTTCCATTTGGCATCCCCAGTAACAATTAACCCCCCAGCATGGTGCTCATAGGTTCAATGAAGATTCACTTCCCTAGAATCAGCACCTCGGACTCAGTTTCTAGTGACAAAAATACAGACATTTTTTTAAGTATGGAGGTGAAATGTAAATGAAGCAAAGGTGATCAAAACAAAAATTCTAACAGAAGACGGACCCAGTGATACATGAGCCACCTCAATGAAATCCACTTAAATTATCTGGAAGTCAGTCTCTTTTAATATCATATCTGAGAAATGAGAGGACTCACTCAGTGACTTCCAATCTTCCTCAGGGGCTACTCACACTGAAAACTCATTTCATATAAAATGAGGTATATTTATATACATATAGAAATATACTTATCTATACAAAATGCAAATATCATTTTCACAAATTAATACTTAATCCTACAATGCACCTGCTCCCTGATATCTTCTAATGTGGTCTACTCTATTCTACCATTTAACTGCAACCTATGAAATCGATTCCATGGCCCAACAAGAGTTCCTGACACGCAGAAAACAGAGAACTAGAGGACTTTTTTCCCAGTTTATTAAGGAAAAATCCTGATTTTACTTAGAAGCTAAAAATATCCACCACTCCTGAATACTAGTTCCTCAATGAACTTTCTAAAACTAATTCCTGAATGAAATGACATAATTCCTGCCTTCCCTGTTTCCTCACAATAAGTACCCATGATCCTTTCCACTTGAAAGTCTTTAAAATGATTTTCCCAGGATATACAACTATTGCCACACCTGATGACAGAGATGAACACAAGGGATTTTGCAGAAAAAAAGTTAGACATCTACCAAAGGAAATCCCTTAACCCCTAATAAAGTACATTTGAATCCTTGTAAACTACCAGGCAGTAACTAAACAAAAGTCAAAATGGCACTCACACAGCAGCAGCAAACCACATAAATCTTGATTTTAATTAAATGAAAGACATTTCATAGTAGTTGCCTTCTCCCTTCAAAACTACAGAATTTGTTCCCTGAAATAAAATGATTCTAACTTTCTAGAATAGCATCTTTGTCACTTTTGTAGATTTTCTTAATTAGATGCCTTCTGTTGCAAGACCCCCACTTCATCCCACCTCATTTTCACCATCTTTAGTAATGCCCCAAACTTGTGGGTATGCAGGAATCTCTGGTGAAAAATGAGCTGGCTTTGAGTCAAACAATACTTCCCAATCACAACTGGGTTTTTTCAGTACATAGCTAGGGAAAGGTCTTGTTTACTTCTTCCCAGTATAGCTTAAAAACCATCTAAAACGTTGTCTCCTCAAAGGCACTACAATCTAGATATGGCATGCTAACAGCGTCATTTGTGCTTGTCAATGATTTCAAAATGCTTCATTCTATAAACTTTCTCTTGGTTTCTAAGTCTACAGGGTAAGGAAGAAATAAATTCCACATCTATTTAATAGTATCTGGATATTTTATTCATTACAGTTTATAAAATAAAATGGAAAGCCTCAAAGTTTTAACTTTAAAAGGCACTTCAATTCATAAGTATGAAAGAAATATTAATGTCAAAAATTAAATCCATTGTAATCCTGTAATCAAGGCATTCTGTGTATTTTCCAAACTTGGCAAGACACATTTTTATTTTTAATTTTTGAACTACTAATTCTAGAGGAAAAGCAAACACCATTAACTTCCTCTTCAGTCACTAGCTGTCTGTGCCATGTGTTTTTATCGCTTCCTGCCACAAGGAAATACGTTTGAAACAAAGAATGATATTCAAAAGAGAGTTCTTGGGGTGAGTCTAAAGTTATTCTTTCAGGAATTGAGAAACAGTGTAAACATATTTAAATAATAGTACAGTGATAGAACTATTCGGAAAACCTTCATGTTTCTTTCATTACGTGATAATCCTCAAAACAAGTCTGCCAAGATTATTTGGGAATAAACTAGTTGGTTGAGTTCAACCTTGCTTCCCTAACACAGCTAATAAATGGCAGAGCTATAATCTAAATCCACTCTGTTTTTGTACCCAACATCATGGTGGAAATCATACCCCACTGTTTTCCCTATGAACCATCTGATCAAATTGTATCAAATTGATTATTTTAGCCTGTCTGTCTAAACCATCATGGGTTTTTGTGTAAGACAGTCAGGAGAGCCTTCAATGAGGTTACAGATGATGATGATGATGATGATGACGACGACAAGAACATGAAGATGGATTCCACTGCTTCAGTCATGTTCAACACTTATTTATTGAGTTCTGTGCTCTAGGTAGTACACTAAATACTGGGGATCCTAAACAAAGTCATAAATATAGCTCTTACTCTAAGGAGTCGGTAAGAAATTCAGAAAGGGAACTGTTCTAGTCTGTTCAGGTTGCTGTAACAAAATATCATAGACTGGGTGGTTTCAACAATATTTTTTTTTTCTCACAGTTCTAAAAGCTAGGAAGTCCAAGATCAAGGTGCAGGGAGATTCAGTATCTGGGGAGAGTCCGCTTTTTCATTTGTAGATGACCACTTTCTTACTGCATGCTCACATGGCCTTTCTTGGTTACATGCTCATTGAAGGAGATCTTTTTTCTTCTTCTATAAAGGCACTAATCCCTTCAGGAGGGTCCTACTCTCATGACCTAATCTAAACCTATTGTCTCCCAAAGACCTCCATCTAAATACCAATACATTGGGGGCTAGAGCTTCAACATATGAACTTCAGAGTGACATAACAGGAACCCAACATGTAAAACAAATCATCACAAGTAGTTTGATATATGTAATTCTACAACATTATCACTTAATTACATTCAACAAATATTTATTGATGTTGAAAAGAAAGTAAATTTTTGACAGTAAATGAAATCCATGAGATAAATAATATTCTCCATGTTTCACAAATTAGAAAACTGTGGTTCAGAAATGACAATCTGTCCAAAATCAAAAAGTGAGCAAGTGAGGGAGACTGGATTTAAACATAAATCTACCTAGATCCAAAGCTCAACCTCTTTCTTACTACAATAGAAGAGCTGTAACCAAGGGCAACACAGCCTTCCTCACTGCCTCTTCTAGGATGTGCATAGTATGGCTCTCCCTACCAAGAAAGAGTAGCTCTCCAAGAGCCAGGTACAAACACACACAGCATGTACAAACCCTCTGAATAAAAGATGACTAAGGCCTGAGTGCTGATACAATAAAAGCAGGTCAGGGAACTAATTAAGAGCACATAGCCTAAACTAGCTTGTCCCACCTGTAAAAGAGAACATTCTACGCAGTAAAATGGTAGAGCCACTGGTTTCATGGCAGATATAGTGTGACTATAATTCTCAAAAAAATATTTCATAACCTGAGTAACAAGAGAATAAAGATACAAACATAGATGAAAGTTTAAACCAATATAAAAAAGTATTTCAATGGTGAAGCAAACCAACCTCAGATGTAGACACAGATCTTATTTATCTGTCTTCGGCTCTGACAAAGTCACTGTGACTAACTGAATATCAAGGCTGTAGCAAAATTTTAAGGGTATACGTCTTTTCTGGCACTTTGCATAGTAGGTACTTAATAAATGTGCTGTGAATGAATGGATGCAAGAAAGAATGAAGATTCTGATTAATTGGTCATATTCAAAATTTATAATTATATATCTTATTTTATTTGGAGGTTTTGAAATGATCTCCTTCCCTTCCAATTAAACATCTACCCAT